TGAAGGTGACATCCCATTTGCCTGTTACCCAACCCTCCATCAGTTCTGGCCTCCCCTTCACCTCAGATCCGTGCCTCCTGCATCTCTTCACGCCCCCTTCGGCAGTAGAGAGGAAAGTTACATTAACTGCGTGTCGGCTGTGGATCCAGCCACAGTTAATCAATTACTCTAACAACTTGAAGCAGCTGCCGAAGCACTTCCGGGTTGCAGTTGGTGCCGGACCATCAGGCGTACCGGACCACTGGATGCCGGACCACCGGAGTTTTACTGTACTTTAAATATCTTTCTATTGTATGGGGAAGATTAACCTCTTTGGGGAAATCTATGCTATGCTTGTATAGTATTGTAAATATAATAGAATATTCATTATTTCCTTTATACAGGCAGTCCCCGGGTTACGTACAAGATAGGGACAGTAGGTTTGTTCTTAAGTTGAATCTGTATGTAAGAACTGGCGTCCAGATTCAGCCTGTTGAAACTGATCAGCGGCTGATTCCAGGAAGCCTGGGGCAGAGCAACTCTGCCTCGGGCTTCCTGTAGTCAGCCACTGGTCAGTTTCAGCAGCGGCTGACTTGGGGACGCCTGAGGTTCTTAAGTTGAATCTGTATGTAAGAACTGGCGTCCAGATTCAGCCTGTTGAAACTGATCAGCGGCTGATTCCAGGAAGCCTGGGGCAGAGCAACTCTGCCTCGGGCTTCCTGTAGTCAGCCACTGGTCAGTTTCAGCAGCGGCTGACTTGGGGACGCCTGAGGTTCTTAAGTTGAATCTGTATGTAAGAACTGGCGTCCAGATTCAGCCTGTTGAAACTGATCAGCGGCTGATTCCAGGAAGCCTGGGGCAGAGCAACTCTGCCTCGGGCTTCCTGTAGTCAGCCACTGGTCAGTTTCAGCAGCGGCTGACTTGGGGACGCCTGAGGTTCTTAAGTTGAATCTGTATGTAAGAACTGGCGTCCAGATTCAGCCTGTTGAAACTGATCAGCGGCTGATTCCAGGAAGCCTGGGGCAGAGCAACTCTGCCTCGGGCTTCCTGTAGTCAGCCACTGGTCAGTTTCAGCAGCGGCTGACTTGGGGACGCCTGAGGTTCTTAAGTTGAATCTGTATGTAAGAACTGGCGTCCAGATTCAGCCTGTTGAAACTGATCAGCGGCTGATTCCAGGAAGCCTGGGGCAGAGCAACTCTGCCTCGGGCTTCCTGTAGTCAGCCACTGGTCAGTTTCAGCAGCGGCTGACTTGGGGACGCCTGAGGTTCTTAAGTTGAATCTGTATGTAAGAACTGGCGTCCAGATTCAGCCTGTTGAAACTGATCAGCGGCTGATTCCAGGAAGCCTGGGGCAGAGCAACTCTGCCTCGGGCTTCCTGTAGTCAGCCACTGGTCAGTTTCAGCAGCGGCTGACTTGGGGACGCCTGAGGTTCTTAAGTTGAATCTGTATGTAAGAACTGGCGTCCAGATTCAGCCTGTTGAAACTGATCAGCGGCTGATTCCAGGAAGCCTGGGGCAGAGCAACTCTGCCTCGGGCTTCCTGTAGTCAGCCACTGGTCAGTTTCAGCAGCGGCTGAATCTGGATGTCAGTTCCGACTTACATACAGATTCAACTTAAGAACAAACCTACTGTCCCTATCTTGTACGTAACCCGGGGACTGCCTGTATGTAAATCTTTATGCATAAGTGTATTTCCTAAATGAGACAGAATAGGAATGCCTGACTACAAAAAAGTGTTAAGTTTTTAAGAAGAGAAAAATGTTCCCCCCCTCCCCTCCCAAAGTCTATGCACATAGAATAATCAACAGAGAAGAGGAAATTTAAAAAGAAAAAGACTATTAAGAGAATAATAATTGGTAAAAGGGAGACAGAGAAAGAAGAAGATTGAAGCAATAGAAAGCATTATATTACTAGTAATAATATGATTAATAGTCTTTGTGTTTGAATGCCTGTAATTCACAGGTGTTTGTATTCGAACAAAACCAAACATACATATAGAGTCAATTCCTAAAGTGGACACTGTACACAAGTATGCAATGGCTCTGTTCAAATGCTCTCTAAAGCTTCCCTCTCACTGCTCACCCAGCGTATACCATGCTTCTAAAATCCAGCTAAGCGCACTCTGTAATATGGATAGCAGTTCTAAGAATGCTTCTCTCATCTGCTTTCCCTTTTGCTTCTTTTTGTTGCTTTCTGATCCCTCTGTAGTTTGACACCTAATTTGTTGATCATCGTTCAGTATTCATATTGGGCCTGGTCCCATGCTGTTTGAGTCATCTAAACTTCCTAGGAAGACAGTGGGCCCATCATCTGAAGTTAAAATATTTGGGATTTACTTAACTGGAATTTTCATCAATTAGGATGAAATTACATCAGAGCTTTGATAAAATAAGGACAACCTTGAGTGCAGAATTATGTAACTGATGATTTTGTGATGGTTATTAGCTACATAAATGGTTTTGCCATTGCAAGTTTATTTGTATTGGTGATAGAAGTTAAAATTGTGGCACATAAGATGTTGGTGGAATCTGGAGATAATCTTAGTTGCCATCAAACGATATTTTCAGAAACTCTTAAGTAAATGCTTCATGCTATCTTTAAAATAGATGAATGGAATACATACTTTTGGTGACAAAGAAAATAAATAACTATGGCATGTAAGTGATATTCCATTTTAAAATAATCAGTGTTATATATAGAATTAATCTTGGTTTGTTTTCCCCTATTCATAAACGCTGCACTTAGTTAACTGAACCTCTAAGGCACGGGTTCCCAAACTGGGGGGTGTGCCCCCCTGAGGAGGTGTGAAGAAATTCCAGGAAGGGTGCGAGGCGAACCAGCTCCCCTCCTTTAAATTCTCCCCCACCACCATGTTTTCTGTTATTTTTGTTTTTCCGCTACAGTCAGTTGCTTTTTTTTTGGTTCAACAAGTTTTGCTGTTACTGGGGGGAGTGGGGAACGTGAGGGTTTTTCAAAAATCAAAAAGGGGGCATGATGCCAAAAAGTTTGGGAACCACTGCTCTAAGGCCAGGTGTACACTGGCAGAGAAAATCAATGCAAGATATGCAACTCCTGCTACATGAATTGCATACTTGGAATTGACATACCTTGCATCAGTTTTCTGGGGTGGCCCCAGAGAGGAAAATTGATGGGAGAAATGCTCCCACTGACTTCCTTTATTCCTCATAATAGCAAGGAGTACCAGCACCAAAAGGGACACCTTCAGCATTCATTTTAGCAGGTCTTTACTAAATTCACTAAATCATACTCTGGGGGCTCGGTTGCTAGAGTGTCAATCCTCTGGAAAGTGGAGACATGGCCTAAGATATTTCCCACTAATTGTCAGTAATCATGCATGTCAAAGTAAATTTCTTGCTAATAGTATTTCATATGTATCTATCGCCATTCTGAGTATGCTAAATCAGCAACTTTCATATGCTATCAAATAATCCATTTTTAAAATATTCGTGATTTTTTTTCTGTTTCTAATTTGCAGATAAGTAGTAAACATATCGATGTTTTGATGCACAAGTTAACTGAAAGTGAAAATGAAAATGATGTAAGTAAATTACATTTTCTGGCTCTTTACCCTATCAAGCATGCCAAACAGTGAAATCCTAAATCTCATACAATTTCACTAGACAACTGCCAGACCTAGAAACAGGATGGCTGCGTGGTCTTTTTGTCTTGCTCTCGCATCTATGTGTTTATTAGTACACCTGCCTGGCTCCCACCCAATTTCCATCATTTTGTTTCTTCATTAGCCATTTTACACTTATTACACTTCATTAGCCATGGTGACACTTATTGCATAGAGTTTAATGTGCTGTATATAGGATAATGTAGAGCTTATTAAACTCTGTGTAATAAGCATGAGAATAAGTTTATCATGTTGTTCATCCATGTAATTCCAGAGTAACTGTACAGTCTCTGTGCCAAAGGATAAATGGGCACAAATCAGCCCTCAAGCAAGGTAGCTTATATAAAGCTGAAGGAGACCACTTAACATCCCTGGACACTCCGTAATGGATTTAAAAGTAGCCATCCTTCTATAAAAAGCAACTTCCAACCAGACTACAAAGAGAAACAGCAGAGCTGCAATTCATTTGCAAGTTCAATACAATCAAATTAGGACTGAATAAGAATTTAGAATGGTCATCTCACTACAAATAGTGATAGAGATGCATCCGTGTTAGTCTGGTCTAGCTGAAAGAAAAGACAGGACTATGCTGCACTTTAAAGACTAACCATCTTGTTAAGTCTTTAAAATGCTGCATAGTCCTGTTTTTTGTTTCATCTCACTACAAAAGCAGTTTCCCCTCTCTTGGTATTCACACCTCATCATCAGCTACTGTGAATGAGCCACAGCCACCCTGAATCAATTGGCCTTATTAGCACTGGTCCTTACACTTGATAAGTAACTTGAGAGGGCTAATAATAATAATAATAAGGGGCTGGTTATTTCGAAATAATAACTCCTGCTTTCCTTGGGGAATAAGCTTATTCAATACAGTTAATTCAGGAGTTGTTATTTTGAAATTACATTGGTATAATTGAGACAAATGTGTTGCTCTGTTTCTTTAAAATGAGATGTTATTTTTGCTTTAATGATAGATCATTCAAGTGCCTTGTCTTTTTATTCTGTCATAAATTGACAAGCAATATAAAGGCAGGAGAAGTTATGAATCTATTATCTCTCCATTACTATTTTTGATATAGTTAATGTAATGTTTCCATTCCATCATGAGGTCACATTCCTGCCCACGTGGTAGCACTCATGATCAAACAATACAGTTTTAAGAAAGCAAAAAATACTAAAACTTGTGTACCTTCTGGTTCATTTCCCTAAATGCCATCTGACACAAATGAGAAACTACAATACAGTGTACAAGTACTTAGAGCAGTAACTATCTGGATTCATCTCTCTAACTCTATGAAAACAATGACAAGAGAAGTTTTAACAATGTCGTGCAACTTCAGTATTACAAAGAAATGTAAAATTCTACCAGTACCCTTTTTATCATTTTAAAACAAAGTAATTAGAAGTTTAAGTTCAATTTACTCCAGTGCTGAGGAGGCATAAGATGGTTAGCTGAAAGGGGTGAAAGGAGGCATAACAAGTTGGTTAGCTGAAAGTGCTAAATATCTCAGGTAATAAGTATTATCTTCATTTTATAAAGAGGGTAAATGGAGGCCCAGGGTAGTATATGTTTGTTTTTAAAGGACCCTGATATTCAGCCATTTAGGCAACCTGAACTATATGGCTACGTCTACACTGGCCCCTTTTCCGGAAGGGGCATGTAAATTTCAGCAGTCGTCGTAGGGAAATCCGCGGGGGATTTAAATATCCCCCGCGGCATTTAAATAAAAATGCCCGCCGCTTTTTTCCGGCTTTTAAAAAAGCCGGAAAAGAGCGTCTAGACTGGCCCCGATCCTCCGGAAAAAGTGCCCTTTTCCGGAGGCTCTTATTCTTACTTCAAAGTAAGAATAAGAGCCTCCGGAAAAGGGCACTTTTTCCGGAGGATCGGGGCCAGTCTAGACGCTCTTTTCCGGCTTTTTTAAAAGCCGGAAAAAAGCGGCGGACATTTTTATTTAAATGCCGCGGGGGATATTTAAATCCCCCGCGGATTTCCCTACGACGACGAGTGAAATTTACATGCCCCTTCCGGAAAAAGGGCCAGTGTAGACGTAGCCCTCCTGTCTTTTTCTATCCCTAGTTTAAGCATGTGAATATGAATGTTATAAATTAGAGAAAGAAAATAGCATAAAAGGGTTGCTTATGGAACTCTACCAGTTGGGACAGGGGCAGAATATGGCTGTTGGGTCTGAAAACCATTCAGCCAACAAACCTTTCAATAGCGATCAAATCTTTAAACTTACTTTCTGATGAAGACGAAGTAACCTTTATAAAAAGGAGCTCTTCTCTCAAAAATAACATTACTTTTACTTTGTTCATAAATATTGACTGGCTCTTTGTTAAGGTTGGTTTCGTTTGTTTTTTTACTCACCAGAGTAGCATCCCATTCTTATTTTATTCCTTTTTCTCGCTTTTCCCTTATTTCTGTCCTGTGTCCTTACTCCCTTGTTTTCTCTTCAAAGGTAATTTTTAAAAAGCAGAATTAAAAAAAAAATCATCAGTAAATGAAGTTTATGAGTATACGTCAATAATTTCATTTGCAATGAATTGACAAAATTTGACAAAAAGAGTGTCCCAGAAAAAATTCCAGTAATACAAGTCAATATTGTACAGTAATTCCTAGCTTAACACATGCCTGCTTAACATGTTTTCGTGATAGCATGATTTTTTTTAGGGAATATTTTTCGAACAACACGAACCATCCCCGCAATAATACGATTTCCCCTACTGGCCTGATGGTCGCCAGCAGCTGCGCGGGGCTTCCCCTGCCTCCCTGCAAAGCAGCGGAGGTTCGCCGCTCGCCAGGCTGTTCCCTGGTGACCCCCCTCTGGCAAGATGCTTCGCTCTATTCCTCTGCCCCCTTCTTGCAGCCGGCGGCTGGGTTTCCCCAGCTGGCCAGTCACCGGCAGTTGCGCGGGGCTTCCCCCTGCTTCCAGAGGTTTGCCACTCGCCGCGCCATTCCCCAGCGACCCCCTCTGGGGATGCTTCGCTCCCTCTCCTCCTCCCCCGGCTTGCAGCCAGCAGCCGGGTTTCCCCAGCTGGCCGATCGCTACCGTGCCGTTCCCCGGCAATCCCCTCTGGCCAGATGCCTTGCATCCGACAAGGAGGGGTTGCTGGGGAATGACGTGGTGAGCAGCGAACCTCCGCCGCTTTGTAAGGAGGCAGGAGAAGCCCCACGCAGCTGCCGGCAACCGGCCAGCTGGGGAGACCCAGCCGCCGGCTGCAAGCAGGGGGCAGAGGAGAGGGAGTGAGGCATCTGGCCAGAGGGGGTCGCCAGGGCACAGCGCGGCAAGCGGCGAACCTCCACCGCTTCGCAAGGAGGCAGAGGAAGTCCTGTACAGCTGCAGGCGACCGGCCAGCTGGGGAAACCCAGCCGCCAGCTGCAAGCCCCTCCCGTCTTTCCTTTCCCTTCTCCAGAGCCAAACACCTCCTGTCCCTGCTATAACCCAGTCTCCTTTCTCCCCCAAGCTTGTCCTGGTCCCAGCTGCTAACAAGTGCAGGCCGGAGCTGCAAGCGCACAGGGGCTTGAAACGCAACCCCCACTTTTTCTGTTATTTTCAATGGGAAAATTGACCTCGCATAACACATTTTCACTTAGCACGATAATTTTCTGAAACGTATCTGCTATGTTAAATGAGGAATTACTGTATATCCGCTAAATGTAGGTACCCAATTATGTTCTTTGTGCATCTATGCACTTATATTTATGTCCCTCCTTTGAAAAACTTGTATTCTTATGTTTAGGTTTACAGTTTCTTTGCTTCTAAGCATCAACTTCAATTGCTTGTGTCACTGGAAATGAGAACTCAATTATTCTAATAAACTATATTTTTATATGTGTAATTTGGGTGCCCTTCTATGAAAACGTAGCCCAAAATGTGCATATAAAGATCTTTTAAGTTTGTATTCATTTTCTTTCATACAGGGTCTCAGAAAAGAAATGCTTATAACAGAGAGGCGTATTGTAGAGCTTTCTTCTCGGCTTCAACTGGAAAAAGTAAGTCAGTTTCCCCCTCAGAAGGGATGTTTAATCTCAGAGTGATAAATTCTTACCCCAAAACTTCTAATTTTTCAAATCGTCAGAAGTATAATATTTAATTTGAAAGATTACATGAAAAGTTATTCCTGTGGGCCAGTGTTTCTCACAGGGATAGACCCGTGCCAGGAAGTTCGGCTCCAGATTTTTTTTTATTGTGATTCAACTCCAACCCCACCCTCCAACAGTCAGTGTGAGGGATGGCTCTGGAGGGGGAGGCTGATTTGGCTCTAATTGCCATTTCTCATTTAAGGTTAGGTTTTGGCTAATGCTTCACGTATGCAGAAGCTAGAGAAGAGAGTACAAAAGCCCCCCTCTATTTTGTCTCTGTACAGGGGCTGTTCACAGTCCCCCTCCTTGTGCTTTTTTAATTCATAACTACTGAAGGCTATTGCTGACAAAAGTGCTAACCTTGACAACATGTGTAAATAAAGGTCTCTTACCCACCGTACCAGACAAGGGAGCTGGTTTCATGAAAAGAGAGGATGGGAGGAAAAGCACCAATTATACTCAATAAAACGGTATGCCAGTTCTAGACAGTGCTTTGGTGAGGGTATTATGTTGGAGTATGAGTTTGCAATCCATTTCACAATTATATTGTGCATACCCACAGAGTATGTATATGTTATAAATCAATTATACAAAAAGAAATAGAGCTTCTTATGACAAGAATGCATAAACTAAATTTGTGTTTGGTTTTTTTGCATAGGCAAATGCTCTAAAAGCAGACCACCTATCAAAGTCAGTAGGAGCTGTACATTCCCACCTGCAATGCCAGATTCAAAAAAAGGAGGCTGAGAATGATCAGTTGAAAGCAAAAATACAGGTTACAAATTTTTTTTATTTAACTTTAGTTCATTGGTAAATTAATGAAAAGTAGGAGGCTGTGCCCTGTGCTCACTGTACTCCCTAACCCCCTCCCTCCCTGGCAGCTTTCGCAGCCAGAGAGTATGTGAGTGTAATGACATCCAGAGAGTGTGAAAGCATGATGACATCATTCTGTCACCCGGCAGGAAAATATTTTTTATATATAGAAAGAGATATATTGTGGCCAGAGGGCCAATTTTAATTAGAAGTTATCCGTCAAATCCTAACATGTCACTTGCTATTATTAAATTTAATTCCTGTAATAGACTTTAAAATTAGAATAGAAAATCCCAAACCAGTAAAAATAAAAATAATGGAAATACAAATTTCTTGAGATGCGGTTGGACAGTGTTCTTAATTACAAATGAGTTTTATGAATGTTCAGCACTTACACTATCGATACTTTTTACACCGTTCTATGAGTGTCTAAAGTAAGGCGTTTATCCTGCAAACACTTTCATATGTGCTTAACTTGAAGCATATAAGTAATCCTACTAAAAAGGATGCAGTTATTCCCACACTTAAAGTAAACATGTATGGAAGTATTTGCAGGCTCAGGGCCTAATAAAGGGACATATATTCAGTTTTAATAACCAGAGAGCATTAACAGAAGCTGTCAGTGTTGGAAGACTTCAAGGGTTGATCTGGTGGTTGCAACGAAGGGGACAGACTGTATTTGAAATTTGCACGGAATGTGGAATTTAAATTTGAGAAGGGAAGTTGACTTAAAACTGGACTATATTAACTTTTATCTTCTCAAATTTTCCTGATACCTTACCATCAATCTGCTGGTCAGCTGCTTGTTATTATACACTTAATAAAAAAGAGAAGTCTTTGTATGAATATAAGCTTCTGTTCACTTTTCAGCTTAGAATAAAAAGATTGTTCCCTCGTACTGAAAAAAGTTGAGAAAACTTTCTCTAGTGAACACACTTTCAGTGGGCCAAACTTAAAGCAGGTCTGCTACTGCTGAAAATACAAAATGCCAAGCTTTTTTTTTAATTTAAACTTATTCTTGCCAGTATGCTAAGTAGAATCATAGGGCTGGAAGAGACCTCAGGATGTCATCAAGTCCAGCCCCCTGCCGAAGGCAGGACCAATCCCGACTAAATCAACCCAGCCAGGGCTTTGTCAAGCCGAGGCTTAAAAACCTCTAAGGATGGAGATTCTACCATCTCCCTTGGTAACCCATTCCAGTGCTTCGCAACCCTCCTAGAAAAACAGTTTTTCCTAATATCCAACCAAGATCTCTCCTGCTGTAACTTGAGACCATTGCTCCTCGTTCTGCCATCCGTCACTACTGTGAACAGCCATCCTTTTTGGAACCTCCCTTCAGGAAGTTGAAGGCTGCTATCAGATCCCCTCTCACTCTTCTCTTCTGCAGACTAAACAAACCCAAATCCCTCAGTCTCTCCTCCTAGGTCATGCGCTCCAGCCCCCTAATCATTTTGGTTGCCCTCCGCTGGACCCTCTCCAATGCATCCACATCCTTTCTATAGTGGGGGCCCCAAAACTGGACACAATGCTCCAGATGTGGCCTCACCAGAGCTGAATAAAGGGGAATAATCACTTCTCTAGATCTGCTGGCAGTGCTCCTCCTAATGCAATTTAATATGCCATTAGCCTTCTTGGCTACAAGGGCACACTGTTGACTCATATCCAGCTTCTCATCCACTATAATCCCCAGGTCCTTTTCTGCAGAACTGCTACTGAGCCATTCGGTCTCCAGCCTGTAACAATGCTTGGGATTTTTCCATCCCAAGTGCAGGACTCTACACTTGTCCTTGTTGAACCTCAGTAGATTTCTTTTGGCCCAATCCTCTAGTCCAGGGGTTCCCAAACTTTTTGACACGGGGACTAGTAAATCCATTCATGAGCTTTTGGAGCACCGGTAACATTTATTTGCATATTCATTAAAGAAATGATGAATATTCAAATAAGTTGTTCCAAAGCCCACAGTGCCAGCTTTAGCAAAGCTTTTGATATGGTCACCCACAATATTCTTGCCAGCAAGTTAAGGGAATATGGATTGGATAGATGGACTGTAAGATGGATAGAAAGCTGGCTAGACCAGGGTTTCCCAAACTTTTTACTTTAGTTGGAACCCGTTTCTTTTCAGTACTGTTTTTTGCAGCCCAAAAATATAAACGCATATTAAAAAAAAGAATGAAAAATGAATAAATTTTCAGTGTTTCACCTGGCTGCATCCTCCACCCAGCCTGGGCCAGGGCTTGGGGGACCTGGCGCCGAATGGGCACTCCAGGAGCCGGGAGCAGGAGCAGATTGAGGGTTGGGTATCTGGCTAGGACGGAGGGTGCAAGGAGGGGTAGGGTTGCCAGGTGTCCAGTTTTATTTGAGGGTTCTGTCCGGGAAACAAATTGAGAAAATACCGGACATATAAAATGTCCGGTATTTTCTAATTAGGTAAGTTTTATTATTATTAGGAATATCAGTCTGTAGCTGCAAACTGCCTAGCTGGTAGATGTGCTCATGCTGGGTGAGTGTGTCTACCAGCCAAGCAGTTCACAACTACTCAAGGAAGCGTATGGGGGAGTATGGGGGGCAAAATGGAATCTCCGGGGCCGGAGTCACTTGTGTGCCCCGGTCAGTCCCACTTCCCACCGTCTGATTTGCCCCCACACCCCGCTTCTCCTCCCGATATCCCCTGGCCAGCCCCACTGCTCCTGCTCCCCCCAGCCAGCCCTGTTTCTGCCAGCCAGTTCCAACCCCCCGGCCAGCCCTGCTTCCGCCGGCCAGTTTCCCTCCCTATCCCCCCCGGGCAGCTCCACTGCCCTGACCCTGCTTCCCTGCAGCCCATATCCAACTCCTCCTCCCCCCTCCACAGCCAGCAATAAGAGCTCACCTGGTAACCCTCACTATGCCTCTGCCCGGAGCCTGAAACATGTGGCTGCATCTGCCCAGCCTGGCTGAGGGCTTGCCCGCCCCCCCCAACCTCCCCCGGCCAGCCCCGCTGCCTCCAACCCTGTTTCCCGGCCACCGGTTTTCACCCCCCCACACACACCTTCTCCCAGTCCACTCCACCTCACTCCCCTCCCAGCAGCCATGCTGAGGCCCGGTATTTTTTTCCTTGCGGCCCAGTACCGGGCCACGGCCCATAGTTTAGGAAATGCTGCTCTAGTCTGTCTAAGTCACTCTGGACCCTATCCCTGCCCTCCAGCGTATCTATCTCTCCCCCTAGCTTAGTGTCCTCAGCAAACTTGCTGAGGGTGCACTTCATGCCCTCATCCAGGTCATTAATAAAGATGTTGAACAAAACCGATCCTATAACAGATCCTTGGGGCACTCCGCTAGAAACCGACTGCTAACCTGACATCGAGCCATTGATCACTACCCGTTGGGCCCGACAGTTTAGCCAGCTTTCTATCCATCTTACAGTCCATTATCCAATCCATACTTCCTTAACTTGCTAGCAAGAATATTGTGGGAGACCGTATCAAAAGCTTTGCTAAAGTCAAGGTATATGACATGCACTGACTTTCCCATATCCACAGAGCCAGTTACCTCATCATAATCAGATTGATCAGATACAACTTGCCCTTCGTGAATCCATGTTAACTATTCCTGATCATTTTCCCTTCTTCCAAGTGCTTCAAAATGGATCCATAATGATGTTGAGTAAAACCCTGTGTTAGCTGTACTTTATTCTCCCTTATTAAAGATGAGCTAATTTTGTTTGGCTCTTTTTATAGTCTGTGCTGTCTGTAGGCCTGGCTGCCCATGCCTGATTTGTTCTTTACCAGTTCAACTCTGTATTCTACATTTTGGATAATGTAATTGAAATTAGTTACTTTGTCCATTACATCTGAATGTTATCTAAATATAGAATTATGGCAAGCTCAGCTTCTGCAAAATGTCTTTAACAAATCTTGTTAAGAGAATTCTAATAAACGGTATATTTCAAGGAATAAGCTAATCTTTGCATAAAGACTTAGTGAGACCACATCAAGGATGAGGGTTTCAAAGGAGTCTAAAATAATTAAGTGTCTATATCCCATTGAACGTTAGCTGATATTCTGACAAGCCTTAGCATAGCTTACATGTTTTCTGTACATTATGAAAAAGTTGTTGAAAAGGACATAGCTATAAGCTACAAAGGACTGTCAGACATAGGACACTGTAGTGACATCTTGTGCTAACCTAAAGTAATAACAATTCATATTTTATTTCAAATCAATTTTGAAATTGTATATTTTGAAACTTGGCACATCTATATAGCGCCAAATTTTGAAATCATGTGATATTTCGAGACATCCCTTAACCTTCGTGGAACGAGGGTTACTGGGATGCCGAAATAGTACACCCATTATTTCAAAAAATATTTCAAAATAATGGGCGGCTTGTGTAGACAAGCTATTTAGGTAGCTATTTCGGAATAACGTTGGTATCCTGAAATAGCCGTGCAGTGTAAACAGATCCAGGGTGTGTGAAATAATATTTTTACCAGCTTAAAAGCAACAGTCTGACAAATCAAAATCTTTTATATATCCCTAAATTTGCTTAGTTTATTGAAGGTATTATTTCTCAAGTCACAGTTTATAAAGTTCTTCATTTCATGCTTACATTAATAAGTATTGTTCTTTTTTTTTTTTCTCTTTTGCTTCCGACAAACCGGGACTATCTTACATATACAAAAGCAGCAGGCTTATTGTGACAACACAGATAACACATTTTTGGAGTCTTGGTCAGTGCCACAACCTCCCATTGATACACAACCACTTGACATGCAGAATGTGGGTATTTTGTAGCTATTGGTGAATAGAATCATAAACAAAAAAAAGTTTCAGCTGCCAAGTAAATAGACTGTAATTCTGACCATGTATGTGGAAGGGTTCAAGGCCCCGGCTAGAATGAGAGTGCACTATATCTGTTTTTAATTCATGTTACATTTAGTCATGTCTGCCTTTAAATTATTTTAAGATCACCTGAAAGGATTTTGTATTGCCTGGCATAGGTAGTTTATTGCACAGTGGAAAAAATTTTGATAAGTGGATTTAAAACTGTCCATCTGGAAACAGTTGCACACTATTAACTTGTTGATGCCATTGATTAGCTGTCATCTTGAAGACAACTATGGGCCCTCATTAAAGTAGGCTTTTGAATTTGCATCTGATTGCTATCTTCACTGAATGTCACTGTACCTTGTTTTAACATCTTTGATGTGACTTGACTCTAGCATCCTTATTTACATAAAAAATGGTATGTAGGGGAACAAACCTACACATAATGATATTTAGAAACACCCATGAAAAATCTGGCTTAAGTGGCTTGCCCAGCCTTGTATCGGAAGTCTGAGGCAGTGACAGGGAAAGAATCTGGTTCTCCATGGCAACATTAATCAACTTCAGTCTTTAGACTGTCCTTTCACTTTATGCAGTCTTCTGCCTCATTTGCTGTATGTTTTCCAGCTTCTGCAATAAATGAGGCAGAAGTGCTGCAGGTAACTACCTCATTTGTTCCATAGCCATGATACATCACCAGAACAGGTACATTCAGCACTGATTGAGGCAAGGGCCTTGTGGAAAAAATAGCATGTGATAATGTAATTATAGTACAGTATTTAATGCATACACATAAAGCAGTGTTGGCAAATCCTAACTTTTGAGTGTGTGACTATGCAGCTGCAATGTTCTTTTAATGTAGTTTGATTAAGTGTATTTTTTCCTATTTTTTTAAAAACAAACTTCAAAAACAGAGTTTCTGCCACGTGGGACCATATTGATTGCCAGCTTGTGTCATCAGCAGATTTTAGGTCTTTTATGTTCACAGCACAGACCTGTACAGACCTATACTACTTGACCTAATGTAGTAACTTACAGCAGTAGTAGGTGGTTATCCTTTGTGTGGGCCAGCCACTAGAAGAGGATGAAACATATCCAAAAGCCCAAGATTTGGTGGTGATGGGGGACTTCCAAACTATCCAGACATATGTTGGGAAACTAACACAGGGGGGCACAGGCTATCCAATAAGTTTCTGGACTGCATTGGAGACAACTTTCTGTTTCAGAAGGTTGAAAAAGCTACCAGAGGAGAAGCTGTTCTGGATTTGGTTTTAACAAATAGGGAGGAACTAGTTGAGAACTTGAAAGTGGAAGACAGTATAGGGGACAGTGATCATGAAATAATAGAGTTCATGCTCTTAAGGAAAGGTAGAAGGGAGACCAGCACAATTGAGGTAATGGATTTCAGGAAGGCAGATTTTGATAAGCTCAGAGAACTTGTAGGTAAGGTCCCATGGGAAGCAAGACTGAAGGGAAAAACAACTGAGGAGAGTTGGAAGTATTTCAAAGGGACGTTGTTAAGGGCCCCAAAGCAAACAATTCCGCTGTGTAGGAAAGATAGAAAATATGGCAAAAGACCAGCTTGGCTTAACAAGGAGATCTTGCATGATCTCAAAATAAAAAAGGAGTCGTATAAAAAATGGAAACTAGGACAAATAACAAAGGATGAATATAGGCAAGCAACACGGGAATGCAGGGGCAAGATTAGAAAGGCAAAGGCACAAAATGAGATCAAACTAGCTACAGGCATAAAGGGAAACAAGAAGACCTTTTATAAATACATTAAAAGCAAGAGGAAGACCAAGGACAGGGTAGGCCCACTGCTTAGTGAGGAGGGAGAAGCAGTAACAGGAAACTTGGAATGGCAGAGATGCTCAATGACTTCTTTGTTTCGGTCTTCACTGAGAAGTCTGGAGGTGTGCCTAACGTAGTGAATACAAGCAGAGAGAGGGTAAGTTTAGAAGATAGGATACACAAAGAACAAGTTAAAAATCACTTAGGAAAGTTAGATGTCAGCAAGTCACCAGGTCCTGATGAAATGCATCCCAGGATACTCAAGGAGCTGATAGAGGAGGTATCTGAGCCTTTAGCTATGATTTTTGAAAAATCATGGCAGACGGGAGATTCCAGAAGACTGGAAAAGGGCAAATATTGTGCCCATCTATAAAAAGGGGAATAAGAACAACCCAGGAAACTACAGACCGGTCAGTTTAACGTCTGTCCCAGGGAAGATAATGGAGCAGGTAATTAAGGAAATCATATGCAAACACTTGGAAGGTAATAAAGTGATAGGGAATAGCCAGCATGGGTTTGTGAAGAACAAGTCATGCCAAACTAATCTGATAGCTTTCTTTGATAGGATAACGAGCCTTGTGGATAAGGGAGAAGCGGTGGATGTCATATATCTAGACTTTAGTAAGGCATTTGATACGGTCTCGCATGATATTCTTATTGATAAACTAGGCAAATATAACTTAGATAGGGCCACGATAAGGTGGGTGCATAATTGGTTGGATAACCGTAGTCAGAGAGTTGTTGTTAACGGTTCTAAATCCTTCTGGAAAGGGATAACAAGTGGAGTTCCGCAAGGTTCTGTTTTGGGACCTGTACTGTTCAACATCTTCATCAATGATGTAGATATTGGGATAGAGAGTACGCTTATTAAGTTTGCAGATGATACCAAACTGGGTGGGGTTGCAACTTCTTTGGAGGATAGGGACATAATTCAAAATGACCTTAGCAAGTTAGAGAAATGGTCAGAGGTAAACAGGATGAGGTTTAATAAAGAGAAATGGAAAGTGCTCCACTTAGGAAGGAACAATCAGTTCCATACATACAAGATGGGAAGCGACTGTCTAGGAAGGAGCATGGCGGAAAGGGATCTAGGGGTCATAGTGGACCACAAGTTGAATATGAGTCAATAGTGTGATGCTGTCGCAAAAAAAGCAAATATGATTCTAGGTTGTATCAACAGGTGTGTTGTAAGCAAAACTCGTGAAGTCATTCTGCCGCTCTACTCTGCACTAGTTAGGCCTCAGCTGGAGTACTGTGTCCAGTTCTGGGCGCCACATTTCAAGAAAGATGTGGAGAAATTGGAAAGGGTACAGAGAAGAGCGACAAGAATGATTAAAGGTCTAGAGAACATGACCTATGAAGCCAGGCTTCATGAACTGGGCTTGTTTAGTTTGGAAAAAAGAAGATTAAGAGGGGACATGATAGCGGTTTTCAAATATCTAAAAGGGTGTCACAAGGAGGAAGGAGAAAATTTGCTCCTCTTTGTTTCTGAGGACAGGACAAGGAGTAATGGGCTTAAAGTGCAGCAGGGGAGGTTTAGATTGGACATTAGGAAAAAATTCCTAACTGTCAGGGTGGGCAAATATTGGAATAAATTGCCAAGGGAGGTGGTGGAATCTCCCTCTCTGGAGATATTTAAGAACAGGTTAGATAGACATCTGTCAGGGATGGTGTAGACGGAGCTTGGTCCTGCCTTGAGGGCGGGGGGCTGGACTCGATGACCTCTCGAGGTCCCTTCCAGTCCTATTATTCTATGATTCTATATACTTTTTAAGTGGTCTTCATAATGATTTGCTGACAACAGAAGAATTTAGTCATTTAGGACTGTTGCGTTCTATTCTAGGTTCTAAGGGGAAAGGATTGTCTAGTAGTTGTAGACTCTTTTGTCCCTGTGACCAAAGTCTTTCCCTGTCACCATCTTACTCCTATTTCCTTCCCCTTCTGCTCTTCACCAGTATCCATGGCTTTTCCCAACTATGTGGCTCCTTCCATGCTTTCTAACTTATGCATCCTCTCCCCCTCTTTGCCTCTCTTACCATTTCTCAGTAAGTGAGTAAAAATATTGGGTGCACAGCTTCTACTCTCAACCTAGTATGTGTATTTGAGAGACAGGAAGTTTAATGCTGGCGTAGTGGAAATCTTTCTGCCCTACATGGTCAAGTTACTGCAACTAAAAATCTACACTGTAACGTTCAAAGTATATCATTCATTTTTGCTTAATTATGCTGCAGACTCTGGAAAAGAAAATTATTGAGTGGAAGCTTCAAATTGGTGAAAACAAACACCAAATTTTAGCTGTTAAGGAAACAAATGAGCAAAGGAAGAAAGCTTTGAAAAAAGCAACCAGAGCTCAGAAACAAAGAGCTGAACATTTTGAAGCATCTGTTGAAAATTTAACTTCCAAAATTAGAAAGAGGGTAAGTGGCTATGTTGATATAATCAAATGTTGTTTAAACTAACCAAGTGTTGTTTAAAATAATAAGTGCAATCAAACATCAAGATTGCATCATCATTGGAGAATAGTGATGACTGACTGCATACTGTACTCTATTATCTCTTAACTTATTCCACTGTAGAGAAGAGTAATTTAAAATCTGTCATCTAAACACAATTGCTAGATGAGATTAATAGATTTTAAACTCAGAAGGGACCATCATGGTCATCTAGTCTACATTTTGTTTAAAAAAGTAAAGGTCAATTTAGTGTGGGACCATGTATTTGTACACATTGTAATTTTGCTCTGGTAATCTGGACTTCCTTCAGCACAGTATATGCCCGGTAATTGCTACTGGGAGTCATGCACATTAATCCCAGAATATCATCAAGAATATCAATTTTCTCTTTCATACACATATGCACCCTGGTCTTGTAGTTTTGAGCTGTGTCGATAGACAGTGAAGTTAATTGAAGATCAGAATGCAGAGTTAAGGTGTTGATTTCTTAGTGTTCAGCAATTGTCTCTTTTTTTAAATGAATTCAGCAGACAGCATGTCTTGTAGATGCTCAAATTTCTCTTTGTAAACTCTGCTCTGAACATTGTAGATTTTTTTAAAATGAAGTTAGAACTTTAATTCAGCATCAGTTGGACCCTGTTGAGGGACTCCTGCTGCTTATTTTTTTAAACTAATGTAAAGAAATTCCAGAAGGCCAGGAGGATAAAAACGTTTTTGAGTGATCTTTCTGGAATTCCTGGGTTACAATTCTGAATGGAATCTCTTGGCCCTTCAGCGTACATTTAAAACTTGGCCTGTTTTATGCTTTCATCATAACATTTCATAGCGTGTTACATTTGCCCAGTTGCAATATCAAGATCTGACTAAATCTATTTGTTCTTTGTAGGCTTAATTTACCTTCAGGCTATATGATGCAATTTAATATTCTCCTGATGACACTCAATTGCACTGTACCTTTTAATTAAGTAATTTAATTGACATTTGTCTAACTACTGAAATTTCAGTTTTGTGTGTTCTAATAGTACTTTCTTTTTATTGTTGTAAGGCAGGGCTACTCAACTTTGGAAGCCCCGGGGGCCACAATGATATTTACAGCACATACCAAGGGCCGCAATTTAACTGACGTTGCATATACAGGCAGTCCCTGGGTTACGTACAAGATAGGGACTGTAGGTTTGTTCTTAAGTTGAATCTGTATTTAAGTCGGACCTGGCGTCCAGATTCAGCCACTGCTGAAACTGACCAGCGGCTGACTACAGGAAGCCCGAGGCTTGGCCAAAATTACTTGAAGGACACATCACAAGGAGTTACTGTGAAGCCCCATGCAAGATACATTTCACTTGAACAATGGAACTGACATCCTCAAGAGTAAAGGACAGTTTTCTAAGCAACAGCTTCTGGATGAGGAATTAGCTTCTGGAGGAGATGAGAATGACCATGAACATCATTGACTTCATAATGAAATATAAACCCTGCTTCTTTGACCTAACCTTTCTGCAATAATTCCATCAACATCACCTATTTGAACAAATAAAAATTAACCTCCCTTCAGAATGAGGGAAAAAAGAGAGAGAGAGCATTGTTGTTGTGTTCTGCTTTTTGAATTTCTGAGGCACTCAAATAGCACATTGATGAGCACGACTGAACTAGCTAACTTGATGCTTATGAAGAGAAGATGTATCAATGTATTCTTCAGTGACTCATAATATATTTTGAAGCGTAGGTACTTCATAAAACTTTTTGTTCAATTGAAGCAATTCTCAGAATGCTCTCACAGATTATTTACTTCACTGCCACAAACCTCACAGTACTTCTGTTAATGAAGCTGTGCTGTTAGTGCAGTACAGGCAGTCCCCGGGTTACGTACAAGATAGGGACTGTAGGTTTGTTCTTAACCAGGGAGCAGCAGACCAGGGAGACGTGGAGCAAAGCCGGGGAGCACGCGGGCAGCGGACAGCCCAGACGTGCAGTGGCTGTCCCGCTGCCGGCGTCCTCAGAGGCTTTGCTCCCCGTCTCCCTGGTCTGCTGGTCTCCAGCAGACCAGCGAAACGGGGAGCAAAGCCGGGGAGCACGCGGGCAGCGGACAGCCCAGACGTGCAGTGGCTGTCCCGCTGCCGGCGTCCTCAGAGGCTTTGCTCCCCGTCTCCCTGGTCTGCTGGTCTCCAGCAGACCAGGGAGACGCGGAGCAAACCCCGTTCGTAACTGCGGATCCGACATAAGTCGGATCCGCGTAACTCGGGGACTGCCTGTATATGCAAATAGCTTCTTTCACACTGACAGGCATAAATACAAAGACTAAGTCGTAAACTGCGGCATCGCATCCAAACATGGCCAGTGTAAGCACTTCTAAGGCTCTTCCCACAAAGCTAAGCAGCCAGCACTTCCCACAATGCCCTGGTGCTCCTGGCACCTCCTTCCTGGGGGCTAGAAACGCTGACACCCTGTATCCGTCTGTTCCAGACACCCCATCAGCTTGCATCTTTCAGTGCTCGCCCTGCCTGGGAGACGCCTTACCCTTGTGGGGCGTGTTCCCAGTGGAGGCCATGTTCAAAGGATCCCACCTGCGGGCTTCTTCTTGAGCCGCGGGCCAAATGCTGAGTAGCCCTGTTGTAAGGTTTAAGGTCAAAGCAGTTAACCACATAAATTCCATTAAAAGCGACAAGGAGTCCTGTGGCACCTTATAGACTAACAGATGTATTGGAGCATAAGCTTTTGTGGGCAAAGACCCACTTCGTCAGATGCATGTAGTGGAAATTTCCAGAGGTAGGTATAAATATGTAGGCCAGAATAATGCTAGAGATAACGAGATTAATTCAGTCAGGGAGGGTGAGGCCCACTTCTAGCAGCTGATGTGGAGGTGTGAACACCAAGAGAGGAGAAACTGCTTTTGTACTTGGCTAGACATTCACAGTCTTTGTTTAATCGTAACTGAGGTTGTCAAATTTGCAGATGAACTGTAGCTCAGCAGTTTCTCTTTGAAGTCTGGTCTTGAAGTTTTTTTGCTGCAGGATGGCTACCTTTAAATCTGCTACTGTGTGTCCAGGGAGATTGAAGTGTTCTCCTACAGGTTTTTGTATATTTGTCCATTTATTTTTTTGCATAGGGACTGCCCAGTTTGGCCGATGTATATAGCAGAGGGGTATTGCTGGCACATGATGGTGTATATTATATTGTAGATGTGCAGGTGAATGAACCAGTGATGGTGTGGCTGATCTGGTTAGGTCCTGTGATGGTGTCGCTGGTATGAAAAGAGGGCAGAATTGGCACTGAGGTTGTTGCATGGATTGGTTCCTGAGTTAGAATTACTGTGGTGCGGTGTATAGTTGCTGGTGAGAATTTGCTTCAGGTTGGCGGGTTGTCTGTGGGCTATTAAAATTAACTCTTTACTGCTTTGAAAAGTTCAGCCAAAATGTTTTTAAATAAATCACAAAATCCAATCTATCTTTTTTTGTGTTTGAAAATCTTAGTTGGCTATCATTTCTTTTTCATAACATTTTGAGGTTGCAACTCAGTTTCATTTTGGCCTTTATTTTGATCTCTTATTTGAAAATGTCATTATTATGCGTGATTATTCTCTGTTTTAAAAGACATTATTTTACCTCAAATTTTGAAGTCTTGATATAGTCTGCAGCTAGAAAATACTATGAATGCTTGACTGAGATTCAGTTTTAGGGATTAATATTTTTGTAGTTCAGGCATATGTAACATGTTTAAATAAACCCATTTAAATATTTATTTTCTCTTCTTGAGATTACAAGCCTAAATTCATATTATTTTATAGGAGTGCAAATTAAGTTGCTTTAAATTAAAATACCATTTGTATTTAAAGGACTGTGCAAAATTAAAAAGCAGGTTTTTTGTTACATGATCCATATTTTGTATATTCTCCAGGAAGTCAAATTGTCTGAGGTACTTTCAGCTTCCAGTGTCTGGAAAAATCATTATGAGAAGGCTGTAGAAGAAAAGACTAGGTTAGAGGTTCAAACTGAAACTCTGAAGGAGTAAGTTAAACCCGAAATTTTTGCAAGTGAATAAGAAATAATATTAATTTCATATACATATTTTTACTATTTATAATTCCAAGTAGAATTTAGAACTTGGAAGTTGGTGCTGAGAATTAGATATTTAACTATGAAATGTACATTAGCATTATAGCCTTCTCTCCATTAGATCATAGAACTTCCATTAATATACTTAAAAAACAACAAATAGTCTGGTAGCACTTCATAGACTAACAAAACGTGTAAATGGAATCATGAGCTTTCATGAGCTTTTTTTTCAGATGACCAGAGTTTTGAGTTGTCCAGACTTCAAATAAATAGAGGATAAGGGAGAGGGGAAGGAAAAAAATGGAAAGGGGTGGGGAACAAGAAGCAGAGGGTATGTAAATATCAAAGAGAAAACCAAACAGGCAAAACTTGTTATCTGTAAGCACCTACTAACATGGGATAGTTAAAAAAAGCAGATAAGGATCATAGGATAGCAATTAGAGACAAAGAGTCACATAGACAAAGAGCTGTTGGCACCTTCATTGTTTGTTTGGTTGATAATGTCCCAACCATCTATTATCTCGGTTGAGGCCATAGGTATGAGAATTAAATTTGTGGATGAATTTTAATTCCAACCCTTTTCTGAGTATTTGGCTTGTAGAATTGGTCTGTAATAAGACAGCCACTTGGAGATCTTTAAAGTGTGACCTGATAGATTGAAGTGTTCTCCAACAGGTTTCTGCATGTTCCTTTTGCGGATATCTGATTTGTGTTGATTGATTCTTTCCTCTAGGGACTGTCTAGTTTGTCCAATATATATAGCAGTGGAGCATTGCTGGCATTTGATCGCATAGATCAAATTACTGGATAATTTCCAAATAACTTCCATTATTACTAAAAAAAGTAACTTCTACTCATCAAGGAGTATATTCTGTCCCCTACATTACTTCTGAGTACAGGTTCTTACTGTATTTGACCCAGTGAACTCCCTCACCTTCCAGCAGTGGCTTCTATTACAGGCTATAGAATAATAGGACTGGAAGGGACCTCCAGAGGGCATCGAGTCCAGCCCCCCACCCTCAAGGCAGGACCAAGCTCCGTCTACACCATCCCTGACAGATGTCTATCTAACCTGTTCTTAAATAGCTCCAGAGAGGGAGATTCCACCACCTCCCTTGGCAATTTATTCCAATATTTGACCACCCTGACAGTTAGGAATTTTTTCCTAATGTCCAATCTAAACCTCCCCTGCTGCACTTTAAGCCCATTACTCCTTGTCCTGTCCTCAGTAACCAAGAGGAAGAAATTTTCTCCTTCCTCCTTGTGACACCCTTTTAGATATTTGAAAACCGCTATCATGTCCCCCCTTAATCTTCTTTTTTCCAAACTAAACAATCCCAGTTCATGAAGCCTGGCTTCATAGGTCATGTTCTCTAAACCTTTAATCATTCTTGTCGCTCTTCTCTGTACCCTTTCCAATTTTTCCACATCTTTCTTGAAATATGGCGCCCAGAACTGGACACAGTACTCCAGCTGAGGCCTAACTAGTGCAGAGTAGAGCGGCAGAATGACTTCACGAGTTTTGCTTACAACACACCTGTTGATACAACCTAGAATCATATTTGCTTTTTTCGCAACAGCATCACACTATTGACTCATATTCAACTTGTGGTCCACTATGACCCCTAGATCCCTTTCCGCCATGCTCCTTCCTAGACAGTCGCTTCCCATCTTGTATGTATGGAACTGATTGTTCCTTCCTAAGTGGAGCACTTTCCGTTTCTCTTTATTAAACCTCATCCTGTTTACCTCTGACCATTTCTCTAACTTGCTAAGGTCATTTTGAATTATGTCCCTATCCTCCAAAGAAGTTGCAACCCCACCCAGTTTGGTATCATCTGCAAACTTAATAAGCGTACTCTCTATCCCAATATCTACATCATTGATGAAGATATTGAACAGTACAGGTCCCAAAACAGAACCTTGCGGAACTCCACTTGTTATCCCTTTCCAGCAGGATTTAGCACCGTTAACAACAACTCTCTGACTACGGTTATCCAGCCAACTATGCGCCCAGCTTATCGTGGCCCTATCTAAGTTATATTTGCCTAGTTTATCAATAAGATAAACTATGATGAGCTGCTCTAACCTCTACTTGGATTACACCTCAGAGAGAGACAATAGATGAAGGATCTGAGTAGTCACTGATTCAAAAATAATTCTCTCCAGACCCACTGACAAATCTTGCCTCCATAGCAACACAGAAGAAGCTCCCTGCATAGACTCCTGGCTCTCTATGAATCTATTCACTGCAGCAGAATTATACCAGTTCCATTACAGACTAGGCTTTCCAAACATGGAAGAGGTGGTAGGATATACCCACAAATGCATACATTATGCCATTGTTTATAATATTGTATTCCCTGTAATAACAAACAAAACAGAACTTCCTAAAATTTTAAAATATATAATAGGAAAAGGCTGAATAGCTAAAAATGCCTTTTCTTTAGCATATGGTAAGAAATATCCTTACATATTTTTGTGGTTTGAAGTACAGTCAATATTTCCAATAGGTTTGAAATAAATTAGTAAAATATGACTAATGGCTGCTGCTGCCTATACATAATTTTAGATGGGTTTCATGCAGAGATGTTTTGTCAAATAGCTATTTCAACAGGAATGTTCACATCACCATAAACACCAAAATTAAGTTACAGGGTTTGGGTTTTTAAGTTTCAGAAAACCTAATTTTCATGGAAAATGTTCTTTTTTTTTAGTTTCAAAGAAGTTTCTTTGCTTAGAATTAAACATTATAGCAAAAACTATGGCACTTTGTCAGTGAATGAGCACCATCAATACAAAGCTGTGAACAGAAGTGACTCTGATTATACGACTGTTGTTATTTAAGTTGACTATAGTACAAAAAATAAATAGGTACAAATATAGGAGCTGGAATTAGGGATGCAGGAGTGCTGCAGACCCCCACAGCTTCAAATGTTTTGCATTATACACAGGTCTTACAATTTGGTTCAGTGGCTCTTAGCACCACCACTATAAAATTGTTCCAGCACCCTTGGGAACAAATGGTGAAAAATAATGTAGAATCAGTTTACTTTTAGTTGTCAAAGGTGATATTCCTAATCTAGGTAAGGAAACTTTTTAAGATGGTTTTTAATTTGACTGTCCCTTTTTAAATTCTGCATTATAATGTCTTGAACTGAAAATATATATGATCTGATATTTGCGTTGATAGAATGCCTGTGCATTCCATCTAACCATCTTATGTACAGTTGTTCTAACCCCTTTCAAATCATTTCCTTTTATTACATCATTTATTGAAAAGCTGAAGAATTTCCAGCTTTTCCAGTTGTTGCTCATTTGGGGTGTTTAAAGATGTGGAGTTACTTCAATAAAAAAACAAAGAAAAACCCACAAATTTTTTAATAGCCTCTAAAGGAATATAATATGCAAATTAAATTTATACAAGTACTATATGCTAGTTGCTACAGAAGTTCTTGATTTATTCAATAAAGGCAGATCACAAAGCTTTTGGAGGACCTGAAAAAAATACAAGATCATGGAAGAAATTCAAATGAAGAAATCTGTGGAAAGCTTACTTCTATCAGTTCAGAAAAGGCAAATATTCATCTTGAAAATGCAAAATTAAAGGTAGGCTGTTGTATCATTTCATTGTTCCTTGTAAGAATAATTCTAGATACCCTTTATTTTAAAATACACTAGATAATTAAATTTAATTCAAATTTTGTTAGCAATTTAAATTGTTAATATCTTGACGCCTTCTTCAATAAATTGGGCATTTATACAGTACTTTCCATCCAGGGAGCCCAAATAACTTTACCGGCATTAATGAGTTAAATATCACAACCCATCTCCCCCATGTATTATAATGCAGCATGCCCATTCTGAAGCTGGTGAGAATGATACATAGACAGATTAACATAGGAAATATGTGATAGAGGCAGGAATAGGTCTTTGAACTCCCAGTCCTGTACATAAGGGGAAAATGCATTATTTGCTGAATTCCCTTGGGGAGCACAAGGGCAGACGAGCTGTGCACTTTGCTCTTGCTCCCTGACAGGAAGTGAAAGAGCGAGTAGCCTGCCCCCCTTACACGCGCACACACTCTCCCCTACTCAGAGCCCTTCCTCATTCCACCCTGCCCAGACCCCTTCCTTAAAGACCCTAGCAATACCAGGTAAATGTGCTAGTCATCTATACAATGACTTAACTAACAATGACCCTTTTAACTTTGGAACATTAGTATAACTTTGTTTAAACGCGGGAATTTGAGTTCACTTTTAATAGCTAATTTCAAATTAGTTTAGAGAGGTTTCAAAGTTGCTTGGCATAATTTAATAAAATCTTTCCTGGTTTTGCTCCTAGCTATGCATCTGCTCTTTTTCTCTGGCTAATATTGATACCTTTATTGTGACCTTTTCCTGTAAACCAAAGCTTTACACACTGAAAAAACCATCACTGGGACTTGTTACTGGCCACCTTTCATCTTACTCCTCCAAAAATTATATTCACAATTATTATGTAATATGAAAAGATGCCAAATTCATATTACATCTGATCTACAAATACTACAGTCCAGTTTTTACAAGAAAGCTTCTTTACCATTCAAGTCATTTTATTGCTGCCTATATAGTTCAAATGGAGTCTTTTCCGTATGAAAGTCCCCAACAGTAAGTCTCAAAAGATCTAATTACAACAAGATTTATTAAGAGTGAAGAGAGAAGATCAGCTCAGAATAAAATAAATAGCATACATAATATCCGGTGTATGTTTAGTTGCAATAAATGCTTAAAAAAACCTAAAGTGTCTAGAAGGTATTTTTTCCTTTTGTCCTTCTAGCCTTTCACGGTATGTCTGCCCTTGAAATTGTAACTTCAGGTGTGAGTCTTATGTCAAGGAGAAATACTCATGCTTGCTCTGCTCAAACTAAACCATGCTAAAGTTGAGTTCAGCCATGAGCAGTGGAGGGCCTAGCTGCCACAAGTATGTTCCCATCCAAGATCCCAGGCACATGTACATCCCTTTGCTTGTGTTGCCACAGCTACATTCTGTTGATAGGATGGTAGAGTGATTAAAACTAATGAAAGCATTTCTCCTGGAGTTGGGAATCGCACTCCTAGCTTGAAGTGTAGACATACATTGAAAATTACATTCTCTGGTTTCAAGTACCTCCCTGCTTCCCTTTCAGATCCCAGTACTTTAATGTTGAAAATGGTTACAGACTGTAAAGATGTTGCAAAATCCATCATCACATCAGACATGCCAGTCAAAATTATACAGGCAATTCAACAATATATTGTTTGATCAGCTATTATCTGGGGGAAGTATAGTAGTCTTTGCTCTCTGTATAGTGACAGTTATCCCCTAGAGTCTTTAGCATCCAACAGCCCTTCAAACTTGAAAAATATTTCCAAAATTTCCTTTTTTGAAATGATGCCTGTCAAATGCCTCTTTGATTTTGCCTGCATCTTAGTCAGCCAGACAATCAAGCTGGTTGAATTTTGGTTTTAAAATGACAAGGGTTACCATCTTTTATACAGTATTTCTACTCTGGCTCAAATTTGAACGAGAGTTGACAAATTTAAATCAGTTTGTCACAGTTACTTAACATGCACAATAAACTACAATTACCGGTATATACAATTAAATACCAATAGTTTAATTGCTAGTCAGATAATTGTGCTGATGTGCTTTGATTTCTTAATCTCTATTAGAGAAAAAAGTGTATTGTCTATAACAAGAATAACATTTTTATTCTCTGTATATTTTAATCTAGGCTTTACTTACTGCTTTGGAAGACAACACTGTTGCAACTGAAGCTGAACTCTTAGACCTACAAGAAGAAGTAAAGCAGCAGGAAAACCTTGCTGAGCAGTATAAAACTGAGGTGACTAATAGACCTGGAAGGGTTATGTATTAATTTTATATCTGTATGCAGCTTTGAAATAACAGTGAGGACCTCATTTGAGAGACAGGGTAGATGAGGTAATATTTTTTTATTGGATCATTTTGTCTTTGTGAAAGAGACACGTTTTTGAATGAGAGTGATCTTCCTCCAGTGTGGGACATCAGAACATTTAACAGTTCATAAGTAGTTATCACTTATTCTAAAGAATCATTCTAATATCCTGTTAACACCCATCTAGTTATAGGCAGGGCTGGACGGAGGCATGGGAATGCTGGGCAGCTGCCCAGGGCACCAACTGATGGGGGACGCCTAACGGCAGCTGTAAGGGGCGCGCGGCATCCCTTACAGCTGCCATCAGGTGCTGTGCACCCGGCTCTTGCAGCGCCGGCCCGCCCGCATCGCCGGCCAGTAATGCCCTTCCCCCCACGGCCGCGGCGCCCTACATGGCTTGGCACGCACGCCAGCAGCGACAGCCGGGCTGGACTAGGCCGCGCTTGTGCCGTGCACCCCGGGGACGGGCCCCAGGCTGCGCGCCAGTGGCCGTAGCCAGGCCGTGCATGCGCCATGCGCCCCGGGAGCGGGCCTGCACACCCTAGGGGGACGGGTCTGCTCCCCACAGGCAGGCCTGCGCATGCACCATACGCCCGGGGGCGGCACCACATGCCCGTGCCCGGGGTGCCAGAATGCCTCGGGCTGGCCCTGGTCATAGGATAAAAAGGGTGGTTAGTGGGTTACAGATTATTGTCTTTAGTAAGATTATGATTTTTAGGTCTTGTCTGTACTACCGAGTTTTGCCAGCAAAAGTTCTTTGAGTGCTTGCTCATGTCCATTCAGTGTAGGTGTGAGGACTAGCCACATGCACAGGTGCTGGAAGATTTTCCCTCAACAGTATTTGTAGGGGAATAGCTCTAGTGTCCCCTCGAGTGGTGCGCACATGCCACGCTATATAGGGCACTGCCAGGCCCCCTCCTCCTTTAGTTCCTTCTTACCATCAGTGATGGTGCTTGGAACTGTGTGCTCCAGCTTCAGCTGTAATCTTTATTTTAAATATCCTATTCAGTTGTAAATATGTTAGTCTGTGACTTTAAAAACAATGAGTAGTCCCGTGGCACCTTAAAGACTGACACATAAATAAATAAATAAATATAGTACCACACACTTTCATGGGCAAAACTCAGTTCTTCAGATGAGCTTGAGTGGACCGCATACTGAGTTACCATGTCCATCTGAGGAAGACAGCAGCTAAGCTTACGATGTGCAGCAATCTTCTTAACAAACTGGCAGATTCATCTTGGAGTGCTTGTACCCCAACCCTGCAGATGTCAGCTCTTGCTTTCTCCTTTTTGTTGGCTGAGTACTGAGCATCAATATGGAGTTGATCATCGCACACCAAACTAATGGATACACAGCTACATCCACTACGTGCATCATCTCTGCAACCCTGCATCCAACTCTGCACCCTTGGCTCCCAGTTCAGAGCAATATTGCTTCTCCTCATATCAGATGAGAGGTTGTCACTGGCAAGTTACTGAAGAAACTATGAACCAGCCCAAGCATGCCACTGCACAATGACCTTTTTAAACTGCCAGCCGCACGCTTGCCATCATGTCTCCCATTATGGTTTCATCTGCCAGGCCAGGGTATTAGGGCGGAACACTCTGGTGAGAGCAATGGGTCTCTTGTTGCCAGCAGTCCCGCAATCTTCCTGTCTGGTTTTCACCTGCCATCCTCAGTTGTCCCTGTTGAACAGTTTCTTAAGCAGGCAAGGTCTGTGTGCAGCCAACCAATATCGCTGGGGCCTTCATGATAGCCCTGTTGTTCAGCTGTGGTGCAACACAGATGATGACACACGTTGATCAGTGTCTGCTGACTGGGTTCAGCGATGGTCTAGAAAAACTGCATTATGCCAGTGAAAATGCCATCGCTTGGCTATACACACCAAATCAATCATTTGACACCCACTGTTTTGAGAAAGAGGGGACTGGACAAATAACTACTCCCCAACAGCTGCAGTTCATTCTCCCAGATTGATGATGAGCCATTATAGTACCAGTTAATTTGGCATTTTATATTCCGAGTTGCCTTTCAAAATATTTGCTATGAAGAGGGGTCTGTCACATTGCAGCAAATCTGAAAAAAGAAAACATTAATACAAATATCATTTCCTTATACTTTTTTGATTACAGTTGTTCCAGAATAAGAATTTTCTCTCTTACAGCCCAGCTTCTCTACTTGTTTGCTGCTGCAGTGAAGCCATAATTTTGCTCTTTATAATAGGAGTATTTTTACAGTGGAAATGATTGATGTAATTTTGACTTCACTGAGTGGAATACAAACTGGGAAATTCCTTGTTCAAGCGCAAATATTTTTGATAAATAACAGAAGTTGAGGGCATGGAAAAGCTGTGAAACATATGTAGGGAGAATGAGACTTTTAAGTATTCTGCAGCGTAAAAAGCACTTTTTAACTGAAATAAAATACCTCTTTGTTTAAAATATGACAGACATTTGAAACAGTATAGCAATTATTTCACAGTCAGAATTTTCCAGACTGCAATAAAATATCATCACACCATATCTAAATTGTGGTAAATTAATGTTGAATATTTTATATCCACAAGAAATAGAAATTCAGTTGTTGCTGTCTAAATAAAAGGATGTACAATGTGATCATTTTAAAGGTAGTGGTTTAT